GGGGGCAAATCCATTTCATTTGATAATAATTGGGTCCTAGTTCCTAGTGCAAAGCCTGGCCCATAGTTGGCAGGGCCAACTTTATTTTTAATAAACACATGTTGAATAAATCTGAAATGCCTTGTCCATGCCCTTTTAACAAATGCTGCCCATTCTTCAGGGCACAGCTCAAAACTCTTCTCCCTCCCTCCTTCCAAAATATACACCAGTCACAGCTCTTTACCTACAATACAAATAGGGCATTTCATCTCATAGGTGTTTCTGCTTGGTGTATCTAAATTCCTTGCAGACAAGGGCCAGTCTTAATTCACCTCTATACCCAAGACCACATGGCTAGTTACCTCGAAAGGATTTTTAAAAAAACTATTTACCACCCCAGCTTAAAGGATTGGTAAAATAAATTCAAAGAGTAACATTTAAGTCTGCTAACTCCACAGGAGCAATTCTAGATGCTGGGAGAGATGACTTCAAAAAGGAAGTAAGAGACCCTTAGGGGAATTTTGGCAGATAAATTATCATGTCTCAATCAGAACAAACTTCTATCATGGTGGTACCCAACCACAGGGCCTCAGGCCATGCAGCAGGAGATAGGTGACAGGCAGGCAAGGGAGGCTTCATGTGAGTTTGCCACCCCTCCCATCACCGCATGGGCTACACCTCCTGTCAGATCAGTGGCATCACTGGATTCTCATAGGACTGCGACCCTACTGTGGACTACTCAGTAGAGTGATCTAGGTTGCCTGCTCCTGTGAGAGTCTGGTGCCTAATGATCTTGGGTGGGGCTGGGCGTTGGTGTTGGCACTGGGCAGTGGCTGCAAGTGCAGATTGTCACTGGCAAAGAGGTTTCACTGTACAATGAATGTCACGCACTTAGGTCATCCCAGAACCTTCCCCTCGCCTCCATCTCCTTCTGTTTTGGCCATAGAGTTTACAGAATGTTAGCACCACAGAGACTGATGCACGGCAGTACTCAAAAGTAAATGACCAACATAAAGATATATGAAATTACCTAACTTACAAATAAATGTTACGTACACAGAATGCTCAGGATAACTGTTAAAATCCTAGTACAGGCATATCTGCTTAGAAATCAAATTAACATACCAGGATAAATAACCTTTTCTACCCGAGGATTTGATTCCAGAAACTGGGCAACTGCCATTCCATTTTTGAAATGCTTCTCCATTCGGACTTGCAGAGTCTTCAGACCTCGATTGCAGAGGTAACAGTCAACAGGAGATGGAACTGTTCCAAGAGCTGCAAAAAGAACACATCTTGTGTTAGTTTGAAGGTGGGAAGGGACCCAGAAAATTCTCTGGTCTCTCTCTTTCATTATAGTGACTCTGAGAAGCTAATTACGCAGCTCAGTGTTTGAGTTTTAGGAGGTAAATATATCAAATCAGAAACATGAGAATGAAACACAAACTATGCTTAGAGAAATTTACTTTAAAATTAGAAGAAACGAGTATCTGAAAAAGTAAGTAAAAACACGATGATACGAACTTTTCAAAGATGAAGATGAAGTCCTTTCCATGATTTTAATGAAATGACATACTGCCCATAATCTACCCTTATATTTCTTTGAAAAATTATTACAACATACTGAGAGAAATAGCAGTTCAACTCCTATTATTACTGAATGTGCTACCAGCATTCTATTTAGACTTTGTCTAAAGCAGCCGAC